CCGGGCTGGGGATTCGAACCTGCCACCTTAGGTGTACGTGGCTGGCGCCTTAGCCGGTTGAGCTATAGGCGCCGAGCCAAGCCCCTGCATTCTTAACTATGAAATGAGAATGATGAATTAAAAACAGTACCTGTGTGTGTGAAGATCAAATCAGATACTACATTCAACCCAGAGTTTGGCTCCATGGTATGTGCTCTCAGCAAATGTTCGCTGAAAATAATAATGAGCGGAAGGGACAAAAGTCACTGATCATGGCTACCTGCCATCTTCCCCTTCACCTTCCCCCAGCCATCCTCAACAAGCTGCAGAATAGATGGCTTCCCTGTGAAGTCCCACTTGTTCTCTTTCTCTGATCTCTCATAGCATTCTGCTTGGACTTCTTGTTTACTTAATATAATAAACACTACATGCCTCCTGCTGACTGTATAAACGCTTTTAAAATATTAATGCACTTATTCCTCACAGTAACCCTTGGGGGAAAGGAATAACATCATTTCCATCTTACAGATGAGAAAATGTGCAGGGTTAACTCGTCCAAGGCCCCACACATGCCTGTACGTGACAGAGCTGGTGTTTGAACCCTGGCTGACCACACTCAACCACTGTGCTTCTTTCATGCCCCTTCAGATGTTGAATCTTGGGGCTGGTGCGGTGGCTCATGTCTGTAGTCCCAGAAATGCACCCCATACTGAAGGCAGCAGGAGGAAGATGGGCTTCATCGAAGACAGAGAGTGATGTTATCTTTAAGCATAAACAGAATCCAGCCAATGAGCTAGGACTAGTTGACACATCTGAACTTTAAACTGAAACCAAGATGAGCAAGGTTAAATTACGAGGGAAGCCCCCTCTGCTGTGTTGCCTTGCTTTGCACCATGCTGTACGTCTTCATTAAATGTGCTTGCTTCAAAGTACCTTGCTCAGCACTGAGCACTTGGCTTTACTGATCAGCAAACTGCCTGTGTATCCAGGCTCAATGAAACGTACTTACGATAGGACACAGAGGCTCCCTCCAGAATCCTAGGAAGAGAGGTGGGCAGCAAAGGACTGTGGGCATAGGGACAAGCGAAAGCTAACCCCTTGGCTTGACTGTCGTCCCTCTCCCCATTTTGACTTGAGCTACAGCAGCTAAGTATAGAGAGAAAACAAGGCTGGAGTGTGTGATGTTGTTTCTTAAGATGGCTGGTGAATGGGTGGTACCTGTGGCTCAAGGAGTAGGGCACTGGCCCCATATACCAGAGGTGGCGGGTTCAAACCTGACCCTGGACGAAAACTGCAAAAAAAAAAAAAGATGGCCCATGAAATGGTGCTGAGCCTGAACTCCAAGAGTTCTGAGTTCTAGTCCTACCTCTGCTTCTAGCCAGCGAGGCGACTTTGAGAAGGTCTCTCTGCCTCCCAAATTTGCAGTTATTTTGTCTATTTTTATCTAGGCTAGATAGCACATAATTTCATTATTGCTTGTCCTTATTTCTTCTTTTTAAAAAAATCAAGATGAAATTCACATAGCAAAAAATTAACCATTTTGAAGTGTACAATTCAGCAGTATTTAGTAAACTCACAATTTTGTACAGCCACTATCTACTTTCAAAACATTTTTATCACCCCAAAAGATAATCCCCTGCCTGTTAAACAGTTATCCCTGGCTGGGCGAGGGGTCTCACACCTGTAATCCCAGCACTCTGAAAGTTGAAGGCAGGAGGATTGCTTGAGTTCAGGAGTTCGAGATCAGCCAAAGCAAGAGTGAGACTGTCTCCACAAGGCATTGTGGTGGATGCCTATAGTCCCAGCTACATGGGAGGCTGAGGCAAGAGGATCTTTTGAGCCCAAGAGTTTGAGGTTGCTACCAGCGATGACGTTATGGCACTCTACCCAGGGAGATAGTGAGACCCAATAAAATTAAGTAAATAAACAGTCCCCATCCCCTTTGCGCTCCTTGCCCCAGCAATGCTTGATTTCTTTGTGTCTCTGTGGATTTGCCTATGCTGGATACTTCATATCAAAGAAAACATACAGTATGTATCTTTTTGTGTCTAGTTTCTTTCACTTAGTGCAACATTGTCAAGGTTCATTCATATTAGAGGACATTCAATCCTTTTTATGGGTGAATAACATTTTGCTATGAACTATAGCATGATTTTTGAGCTCCCAAATTATGATCCCTTATTTATTTATTCATTTATTCAGACAGTCTCACTCAATCGCCCTGGGGTGGAGTGCCCTGGTATTATAACTCACAGCAACCTCAAACTCTTGGCTGTGAGAGATCCTCTTGCCTCAGCCTCCCAAGTAGCTGGGACTACAGGCTCCCACCACAACACCCAGCTATTTTTAGAGGTAGGGGGTCTGCTCTTGCTCAGGCTGGTCTCAAACTCCTGAGCTCAGGCAATCCACCCACGTTGGCCTCCCAGAGTGCTAGGGTTACAGGTGTGAGCCACCTTGCCTGGCCATCTGCTGAACACACACACCTAATGAACACGGATTAAACATGAGGCAGGTGCTGAGGGGAAATGATTAAGCGATATTTAGGTGATAAGCACACTTGAGACGCTAAGTTGGTAATGAAATGAATAGTGGTCTGGGAAATACCTACTTGGAGATTGCAATTAGTCACATTTACCGTAATGCCATTGTGTGATTTTTATCTATATTTGATGTGCTTGCAAAGTACCATGTTTACCACCTACCACTTGGCTTTACTAATTGACAAAAAACAAAATTTAAAGTCACTGTTCTCCCAATTTGGGGACGAGTTCAAAAGTGAAGCCCACACAATAAAGCCTTGAGGTGTCTGACCCAATTAGCTTATTAACGGACTAAAACTATGTTAATAATAATAGAACTTACAGAAGTCAGAAGGCTTTACTGAGGCCAAAATAGGAAAAGGATCCTTTCTCAGAAATGGTAGTAACAGTTATCCACACAAGGGCAACAAAAAAAAACAGTAGGAAATATGGAAATAACTTAATTCCTCTCTTGGATTAGTTCTTTTTAGTTTGGGCGACAAGTAGGAAGACAAAACGTAGCTTGCCCAGGCATTCAGCCCTAAAAGAAATGTCTCTCCGGCGGGGGGGAACGCCGAAGGCGGGGAGGCGGGGCTATCACAAGCCCCACCCCTCCCTGTAGCCCCGCCTCTCTGCGTCTCCCACCTCTCGGACTCCCGCGCACACTGAAGATGGCGGCAGCTGTGGGCAGGTTGCTCCGGGGCTCGGTGAGTGTCGTTTGGGGACAGGTGTGCAGATGCCTTGGTGGCTGCAGGAACGTGCTTTCCAGACAGATTCTGCTTCGGGCCTCGGGCCATTCGCCCTTCCTGGAGGGTGTCAGCGGGTAACGGACCCAGAGGCTCCTCTCGGGCCAGCTCCTTGCGCCTGCGCAGAACCTCCCTTTTCCCTCTGTCCTCCTTGCTGTCTCTTCCCCGGGTGCGTCCTTGCTGTGAGCCTCCGGTCCCCAGCCCTTTTCCACCTGAGCATCCAGTCCTGGTCCCGCTTTGTCACCGACTCTATGACCGGGGACTTAGCATTTCTGAAACTTTTTACTTAAGATGAAAGAATGATGCCTATATATCAAGGCATTGCTGTCAACAGCCAGTTAAGTGCCGGATGGAAACGTGCAAAGTGCAAAAGTAGCAAAAGGAATCATCTCTGGTCCCCATTTACACCCCCTCCTTTCCCCGTGTGTCTCCATCTTTCTTTGCCCTTATTTCCTGCTTTTCTCCTGGCAAAGCCCGGTGCTCTCTTGCTACCCACCTTTTTCATGGCGGGGTTCAACGCAGGCCCTTTCTTCCTGAGTCATTAAAGTTGAGCAAACATTTCCCTTGAGCCCTGTCCAGACTTTCCCAGAGGTTGAACTTTGCTCTACTTATTTACTTGGTGGGGCCGGAGGCCTTGTCTTTTCTAAGAAGGCCTTGGCATAGTAGAACATGCTGAACAGATAGTGCGAGACAAGGGCTTACATACACAGGAGCTGGCCGAGTCCTCCTGGTTTTTGAACCCTGTATTGCTTTTAAGAGCATAGAGTTTTTGATTGTTCAGTCTTTGTGTTCTTATAGTTCCCTTCCACCTTTCAGTCAGCAGAGGAGTGAGAAGCAGAAGGGAATGTTAAGAATGTGAAAACTCCTTCAATGCACCTAGAAGTTTGGGGTTTGGTATTTGGTTCACAGGGACAGCTGAAGCCACCATTGGCATGATGCCCTTTCTGTGGGAGCAGCCTTCCTTAACCATCGGGAAAAACTTTCTAATTCAAGGGGTTTCTCTTTCCAGGTTGCTCGACACGTGAATGCCATCTCTGGGGGCATTTCTGCTCCTACCACCCTTAGGCCTGCTGCTTGTGGAAGGACACACTTGATGAATATATTGTGGTCTGGTTCTAGTCCAGCCTTTAGCACCAGTAAGTGTTATTATGCCTAAGTTGGGTCCAGGTAAAGGAAACTCAAATTATCATCTCCAGATAGGGGCTCTGAACCCTGGCTTTACATTAGACACACCGCCTTTTAAAAACATTGCACTGTCCCAGTCCTATCTCTGACAATTTAAATCAATCTCAGGGGTGAGACCAGGATATCAGTCATTTTTAAAAGCTCACTGGGTAATTCTAATGTGCAGGCAGGGGTGATAATCATGAAGGCAAACTGTCCTTGTCACATTTCCATTTTGGTTGTCAGAGCTTTTAAGCTTCTAGGTTGAGGAGCATGGGGTGGGGGAAACCCAGATACCTTCCGGGCCTGCTGTGAATGAGAGGGTGTGAGTAGTGGGCAGCCTGTGGGGACCTGAGAGTATAGCTGCTTAAGATTCAAATCTATCTGCCTACTCCTCCTAGCCCCTTAGGAGCCAGAACCATCTAATGGAATCCTCCATGATCTGAGTGCAGCTTAGCTGTTCTCTAGGATATAAGCTTTGCCAAGCTCAGCCTCCTTTAGTTTTGTCTCGTCTGAAAAAGCATTAATGGTTTAGGGGGGTATACTTCAGCAAAGCCTTCATTGTCAGTGGAATGTTCTAAGAAGTTTCACATTTTTACTACCTTGGAGCTTTAAAATATTTCTAATAGTGACTTGATGCTATAGGTTAAAACTTTCCTCCACTAGTCCCAAATCTTCATCCCAGCAGTTCACCCTGTTTCTGTTCATGGCAATCCCAGGCATTTTGACATTGGATATCCTTTGTCCCTGATTCCCAGGTAGAAGCAAGTCTTCTCCAGTTTTGACACATCTCTTGCATCCATTCCTGCCTCTTCTTTCTGCCACACTCCTCCCTTCAATACCTCTTACTGAGATCACTGAAATCACCTCCTAACATGTGTCCCCTGTTCCTGCTCCTCTTACCCTCCTCCCAGACTATCTAACTAAAAACAGCTGCCTCCTTTTGTATCCCCTACATGAAAACCTCCCATGATTCCTGTTATCTCTCCTGTTAAGAGCAGACTTGGCAGCCTGGTGTTTAAGGACTATTGAAGCATGGCCTTCAGCATTTCCTGCCGGCTTCTCCTTGTGAGGTTGCCACAGGCATATGCCCTGTCCTTCCTCCCTTCCCGCCACTTCCTCCTTCCCATGTGCTCTGTCCCATCTAGACTTCGCAAAATCTGAACCATGTTTAGAATCCTTGTCTTCCTTAATTCTATCCTGATTCCATCCATACTATCTTTCTCTTCCTTTTAATTTCCATAGTGCCTTGAATTGAATTTGTGTGCTATTTAGAACTATAAGGCTGGGCATGGTGGCTCATGCCTGTAATCCTAGCACTCTGGAAGGCTGAGAGGCTGAGGCAGGTGGATTGCCCTGAGTTCACAGGTTTAAGACCAGCATGAGCAAGATCTTGTCTCTAAAAATAGTTGGGCATTGCGGTGGGTGCCTGTGGTCCCAGCTACTTGGGAGGCTGCGAGCTATGATGCCATGGCACTCTACCAAGGGCAACAAAGTGAGACTGTGTCTCAAAAA